CCTCCATGGTGCTGACAAAGATGAAGGAGATTGCTGAAGCCTATCTTGGGAAGGTAAAAAACACTTCAAGTTAAACAACTATCTATAGTACTGTCGTTGTATGCATTAAACTCCTTCTATTAATTTCAGTCCGTATCGAATGCTGTTATCACGGTACCTGCCTACTTCAATGACTCTCAACGTCAAGCAACCAAAGATGCTGGAACTATCTCTGGTCTAAATGTGTTGAGAATTATTAATGAGCCCACTGCAGCAGCTATCGCTTATGGCTTGGATAAGAAGGTGAGATATAGGTCAGTAGTACCATGATTTATATCTATATACACCTTTACAGCTGTGCTCAAACCTCCCTCTTATTCCAGGTTGGGTCAGAGAGGAATGTTCTCATTTTTGATCTTGGTGGTGGCACTTTCGACGTGTCCATCTTGACCATTGAGGATGGTATCTTTGAGGTCAAGTCCACAGCTGGAGATACTCATCTTGGTGGGGAGGACTTTGACAACCGCATGGTCAACCACTTCATTGCAGAATTCAAACGCAAATACAAGAAGGACATCAGCGACAACAAGAGGGCCGTTCGTCGTCTGCGCACAGCTTGTGAGAGGGCAAAGCGCACCCTGTCTTCCAGCACCCAGGCCAGCATTGAAATCGACTCTCTGTACGAGGGAGTTGACTTCTACACCTCCATCACCAGGGCTCGCTTTGAGGAGCTCAACGCTGACCTCTTCCGTGGCACCCTGGACCCTGTGGAGAAGTCTCTTCGTGATGCCAAGATGGACAAGTCTCAGATTCATGACATCGTGTTGGTTGGGGGCTCCACTCGTATCCCTAAAATCCAGAAACTTCTCCAGGACTTCTTCAATGGAAAGGAGCTGAACAAGAGCATCAATCCAGATGAAGCTGTGGCCTACGGAGCTGGTAAGGGTCCAATTTCTCACAACATATCTATCCAGTAATAACTCAAGATGAAAACGTCCATGGTAGGGATCAACTCATGTTTTTTTTTTTCAGGGTCGATGTCGATTATTGATGTTTGAGAAAGGCCAATAATTGATATCTGGAACTGATGTCCATGAAAAGTTATTTATTACCTGCATGTGATAGCAGGGAATCTGTTATTCATAACTAGGTTTGTTCATTAAGAAGGATTACTATTACTGAATTTATACATGCAAACATTAAACATTATATATTAACAGCAAGCGATAGCAGGGAACCTGCCATTTACAACTATACTACTTCATTAATAAGGATTATTATTACTGAATATGTACAAATAGAGAAGTAGAAGTTGATGTTTCACTGTGACATGACACTACAACACTCTCCTCTGTTTACTATGAGATTGATTGATTGAGATCAATAACATTCGTCTCCTGCAACTCCTGCTGTTCTTCTTAATTTTCTATTCTGACACTTACATTGCCCACTAACATACATATCTTAAAACATGATTAGTAATTATTTTCCATACACTGTTTTGGCGGCCTCCTAACTTTGATCCGAGCCATTAGCATAGCCTTAGACACTGTGAAAGTAGCTGATGTCCTGATTGGTGGAGATTGCTTTGGTTCTTGATCAGTTTTTGCAGAATGTGTGTCTAGCCACAGGCAAAGAGGCACAGATAAACTTTTAATGATAGCCGTAGCCTAACCGTCCAGCTGCACCAGTTGTTAACAGTTACAAGTGAATTATTGGGGCCTTTTCTGTATAACAGAAATACTAGGAACGCCTGTGTAACATTGTTGTGTTCGTTACAACTTCAACAGTATCTGCTACCTCCCCTTTCAAACACAGGACATGACTTGAGACCACAGAGTGACTGTAGAAAGAGAGAAAGAGCCAGTCGCATCAGAACCCAAGTAGCACATTTTTCTTATTTTTCAATAAACAGCTAATGAAAATAACAATTCCAATAATTGTAAACATACCCAAAATCTGCCTCTATAATTAGCCGAGCCGATAATCAGTCGATCCCTAGTCCATGGCATGGCCCCTTTCAAAACCTAACCAGTCGCTCTTATTTACAGCTGTCCAGGCTGCTATCCTGTGTGGAGACAAGTCTGAGAATGTGCAGGACTTGCTGCTTCTGGATGTAACCCCTCTGTCCCTGGGTATTGAGACCGCTGGAGGTGTCATGACTGTCCTGATCAAACGCAACACCACCATTCCCACCAAGCAGACCCAGACCTTCACCACCTACTCTGACAACCAGCCTGGTGTGCTCATCCAGGTGAGGAAACCAGTGGATGGGATTCAGTTGTGCATGTTTGTGCATTTCACATTTCTAGCAGGTGTCATATCATTATCCAGTGCATTTCTGAGACGCTAGACTGACTAAAATGACATTTAGTGCCGCATAACCAACAGGTTTATGAGGGTGAGCGTGCCATGACAAAGGACAACAACTTGCTGGGAAAGTTTGAGCTGACAGGCATCCCTCCTGCTCCACGTGGCGTTCCCCAGATTGAAGTGACATTTGACATTGATGCCAATGGTATCCTCAATGTCTCTGCTGTTGATAAGAGCACCGGCAAGGAAAACAAGATCACCATCACCAATGACAAGGGTACAAAAACTGGCTTATAAATGCTGCTTAACCAAGATACCGCTGCAGTGTTATTCCAATAATACATGATTAAATGCTAACCTTACCTGTTTTATGACAGGTCGCCTCAGCAAGGAGGACATCGAGCGCATGGTCCAGGAAGCTGAGAAGTACAAGGCTGAGGATGACGTCCAGCGTGACAAGGTGTCTACCAAGAACGGCCTGGAGTCATACGCTTTCAACATGAAGTCCACTGTGGAGGATGAGAAGCTTGCTGGCAAAATCAGTGATGATGACAAACAGAAGATCTTGGACAAGTGCAATGAGGTCATCAGCTGGCTGGACAAGAACCAGGTGAGGACTGGCGACAATGTGCTAAAGAAAAATACATTTTGTAATATGAACACCGTGAATATAGTCTGCCTCCAACACTTTTTAGTGACTCTGTTTATGTGACAGAACAGAGAAATGAAAATGCATCATCAGTATATTGGCTTTAAAGATGAAGTCATTGCCTGGTCAGATATGGAGGGAATGTTGTCTATTGATATTGATAGTTAACTAAGAGGTAAACAGTACAAGTTACACTGTACTTTTAAATGTTGCGTGGCTTTATGATTACACAGGTTTACACATTTGCTACACAACGCTGATTTCATATGTATGCAGTAGTGTTTTGAATAGCTACATTATTCTAATTATGGTGCAACAGTAAAAGAGTTCAAACTGAACTGAATATTTAATTGCTAAGTCATGCCTCCTGATCATGAGATTATATGAAATGATTTCTTTGTATTAGACTGCAGAGAAAGACGAATATGAACATCAGCAACAGGAGCTGGAGAAAGTGTGTAATCCCATCATCACCAAACTGTACCAGAGTGCTGGTGGGATGCCTGGCGGGATGCCCGGTGGAATGCCAGGCGGCTTTCCTGGAGCTGGTGGTGCTCCGACTGGCGGAGGATCCTCTGGACCAACCATCGAAGAAGTTGATTAATTATAATCTCTGTGGCTCCCTCGTGTCCCCGAATAATAAACAAGCATGAACATTCCCAGACCCGATCAGTGAAGTCATATTCATGATGATAAGTGAATATAAAAAAGATCTTAAATGGAGCGCTGAGTGTCCTAATGTCATGTTTGAGCCCAGAATAATAAATCATGATGGAAGCATGTGTCTCAGTGAGTGTTGTGTCTGAGGTTTCATGTTGGTTTGCGTTCATGTAATGACAGAAGCCTATGTGAACAAATTTGCATCTGTAAACTAAACTTATAAGGAGACAAATGTTGGGAATCTTGAATTTGTAATATTGACTATACAGTTAATTAGCCCCTCTATAATGAAAATGATGAAGAACAGCAGCACTTAGAATTAGTCTCAGTGCAGCCTCTTAACATTCATATATGTGCTGTTTCTGGATTTACTTGTAGCTCCAGTGTGTGTTGATGATTAAACCTGTTTCTTGATGTTCTATATTATTTAAAATAGTAGTTAAAAGTAACTTGAACTGGATAAATAAGTAGATTTTAAAGCATATTTTTTTCTGTGCTGACACAAAGCTATAGGATGTGTTCTCCTATAGCTCCACTGTGCTCTGACTGCTGAGCACTACAGCAGCGACAAATCAGCGAAGCCTAGAGATGATTGCATTATTATCATAGTGACACTGTGAAATACTTGCTACAGTCACAGACAAAAGCTGTAAACCTTGGTGTTTGAGTTTTTATCTTCTATGTTGATTGCATTTTCCCCCTAGACAGTCCTCAAAGCAAGCACTGCATAAAGCTTAATATGTACACATAAATGCATTTTAAGAGACGGTGAAGAGATCTTTGAGGACAGTACAAGTTGGCCAGTAAATCAGCATCTAGAAGGTGCATTTTATCTGTGATCTGACTGTGTGGTCAATACAAATGCAACGAAAAATCCTAATTTGAAATGAGGCCCAGATTGACATTCAAAGTCAAGTGTGAGCCTCCATCCCCATTTCCACACCAGATTTTTAAAATTTGGTCTACTCTCAGGAAAATCACACAACATAATGTGGAAACTACTCTGGAAAAGTATTAAAAATGGTCGCTCAACAACAAAGTTATTAACAACCACTGTGATATTGTCAAAACCAACACATCTTGACAGAGCTTCAGCAATAGCGGAGGGCTGTGGCAGGTTGGGGAGAGCAGAGGATGTGAGCAGTCATGAATCCAGATTATTTACTCCCATTGTTCCAGACCTGAGCCACTCACTGTGACAGAGAGCACAAGCACAGGGACTGGACTCAGGTATGGACACAAAAACACAGGACTAGTCAGTGTGGTATGAAACAGCACCACTGGTCAAGTCAGAGGCTGCAGCCCGTTCATGCGCCTCTGTGACATTTTTTTTTTCTAGCACAAAGACCAAACCGCAAAGTCCCCGGATGACAACATCAGAATTAAAGACCAAGTGTTCTCCAATTGTGCCAAAAGGCTGCAAGACATTTATTGAAACATGATACATTAAACAATACGACAAATTTGCACGTTTTACAGCAGCATCGTGAAACTAAGACAATCCCCTCCCTTCAGAATTGGTCCATATTAAGAGCTGCTTTTTTTTTTTTCCACGCCGTCATCGTCCCCAGACTTCAGAGTGCGCCTCCATTTTCCAGAGCCAAACACGCAACAGCGAGGACTGAGCAGTCTATGAATAGTCCCGATGAGAAGCGAATGTATGTTTTATTGTAGAAACGGCAACACCAAACACTATCCCCTATTTGAAAGGTTGTTTATCAAAAAAAACGTACACTGGTATGAAAAGTGGCTGGCTCCGAGGAGAGCATTGTGTCCCGGCTGAATTCGGGCCTGCGGGGAGTCTCTCTCTTTTACTTGCTCTTGGCCGGTTTCTCCGTCTTCTTGGGCAGGAGGACAGCCTGGATGTTGGGCAGCACTCCTCCCTGAGCGATGGTCACACCTCCCAGCAGTTTGTTTAGTTCTTCGTCGTTGCGCACAGCCAGCTGGAGGTGCCGAGGGATGATCCTGGTCTTCTTATTGTCCCTGGCCGCGTTGCCTGCCAGCTCCAGGATCTCAGCGGTCAGATATTCCAGCACGGCCGCTAAATACACCGGAGCCCCGGCGCCGACGCGCTCCGCATAGTTGCCTTTGCGCAGTAGCCTGTGGACTCGACCCACCGGGAACTGGAGTCCGGCCCTGGAGGAACGGGATTTTGCCTTTGCTCGGGCTTTGCCTCCGGTTTTTCCTCTTCCAGACATGATTTTTAGTGCGATAACTGATGGCGGTACGCCGCTATGAAGCAGTGGATAGACGCGCCTGGACCTTTACGTAATGTATTTGTGAGGTGAGGTATATAAACCACAAAAACTTCTCTGATTGGACGACTGAATCTGAACCTTAGGAGCCAATGGTGTGGCGCGTCCTGCGGTAATGTCCTGTCCTCTGATGAGCAGTGCTCCAATCCTGGAGAAGGAACCGCACACGCGTATTTGTAGAGCCACGTTATAAATAGGAGACTGGGGCCGGCGCTGGACGCGCACTGTTGTCTTCCTGCCTCCGCACTGACGTCTGCAGGACACGGAAAATGCCTGATCCTGCAAAATCAGCTCCTGCGCCCAAGAAAGGCTCCAAAAAGGCCGTGACTAAAACCCAAAAGAAAGGAGACAAAAAGCGTCGCAAGACCAGGAAAGAAAGCTATGCGATATACGTGTACAAGGTGCTGAAGCAGGTGCACCCGGACACGGGGATCTCCTCCAAAGCCATGGGGATCATGAATTCGTTTGTCAACGACATCTTTGAGCGCATCGCCGGGGAAGCGTCCCGCCTGGCGCACTACAACAAGAGATCCACCATCACGTCCAGGGAGATCCAGACCGCCGTGCGCCTGCTGCTGCCCGGTGAGCTGGCCAAGCACGCCGTGTCCGAGGGTACAAAGGCCGTCACCAAGTACACCAGCTCCAAGTAGAGGCGCACAGAAGCTCCACACGAGGGGGACAACAGTCACCAAATGTCCACCAAGACGATGTTGAACTCCCACCGCTGTGTTGTTGGCTGATTACCTTGACAAAACTCGTTTGTGATTTTTGCACCATTGCCGGATTTTGAAGAGAATCTATTGAACAGAGGCCTTTCGTCGAATGTATTGATGCACTGCAACTGTAGCCTGCCATTTTGTTTTAACTAAACGTTTTATTTCAGAGCAGTTTTTCCACTGACCATTCAATACAGTCAGAGCGAATTTAAGTCGATGTTCATAAACTGTGGAAGTCTTTTTTTTGTTTGTTTTGCTTTGCATCGTTTTAATACTGATTTGTACACACGCACCTTAGAAAATGACCAAACTTTACCGTCTGTGATGGCGCAGCTGAAAACCATTGTGAGATTAAACTTGTGACTTACTACCAGTGTCTAGTTCTGTTTCTGAATGTGGTCTGGTGACATCGATTTGATTATTAACCAGCAAAGCAGCTGGGAAAATGCAGTGTGATGCCTGGAAGTGCTGCTGTTGGTCTACATGGAGAGAAGGTCTGTGCAGCTCAGTCTGAGGTTCAAAATGGACATCAGTGGGCTGAGTGTGGCGTTTTTCTCATCTCTAAAATGTTAAAAGTATAAAAAAAAACATGCTTATATTTTTGGACTTAAATGTCATGTCCAATTACTCCAACACACTCAACCCTCCCATTGGTCCATTATTTGGCTGTGATTTATTGGCACCTATCAACCATTTACATGTGGGTTTTTTAAAAAGCACAATGCATGTGTGGCCAATTCCAATCACAGCACAGTCAAAAGCACATCAAACCATCCATCATCTATGCACCGCTTAATCCTCACTAGGGTCACTCACATTCACACCTATGGACAATTTAGAATCTAATTAACCTCAGCATGATTTTGGACTGTGTGGGAGGAAGCTGGAGAACCTGGAGAGAACCCACACTGCACAGGGAGAACATGCAAACTCCACACAGAAAGATCCTGGTGTCCTAGCCGGGACACGAACTGAGGATCCTACAGCTGTGAGGCGGAGGTGCTAACCACCGCCCCACCGTGCAGCCCACGTATATAAAGTCAACCACTTAATTCTAATATGTAGTATTGTTTTGTGTGTCCTACCTTTTGTGCTTCTTGGAATGGGTGTGTATATTTAATAAATTCAAACTGTATGACATCTTTGCATTCATATCACATTGTGCTGTGTTGTGAATTATAATTATAATTACAAATATATTCCACAAGTTGTGAGGAACACTGTTCTACCATAAAATACAGTTGTCAGCTGTAACACAACAATGAAGAGATTAAGCAGCTGTACCACACATCATAGTTTCCGTTGCATTGAAACAACAATTATGAAGCGAAGACATCTCATTTTATAAAATATCTGTTGCCTCAGCTGTCGTGTCTCCTCCGAGCCTCCTCCCCTGCATCTCTGGTGGGAGGGATTATCCTCAAGGAGAGGAGCTGAGGAAAGGAATATAGGATGTATAAACTGACAAAGGAGAAGATCTGTTTTCCTTGTCTACACATTAGTTCTGCAAATGGAGTATGAGAATTACTTTCCCCTGGAAGGGGTTTTCCAAAGGGTCTGTTTGTGTGTGGATAGAAGGCCAAAGCAAATAAAACGCTATGTTTTAAAGAAAATACCTGTGTACATGTAGACAAGGCTTCAGACTTAAGTGACTGTCTTTCCTTCATCTGGAGATCAAATTTGTTGCTGTCAACAAGAAAAAAATGAAGCAAGCAAGAATGCAGTTCCCTCCCCTGATGATCCACATCCATCACGTCTTTGCTCATCAGAGAAAGAAAAAGATTTAGATAGACTCTAAACTGCCCTCACCTTACACCTTCTCCCTTCACCAAAAATTGTGATGCCCTTTTCCAAGACAACTGACTGATCACCTGTCTCTGTTTCTACATGTGATGCTCCGTTATCTCAAACACAACCTCCTCTGGAGCAGGTTAGGCGTTCAGCAAAAGTTACCACGGGGATATACCCCTGTAGGAAGTGAATTCATATCACATTCCTGAAAACCAAGAGTTAAATTTGAAGTTATCTTATTAAACTGTATGGCCCTCTTGGGGGTTGATCTGGTATCAACCTGTATGTCTGTTGGCTCTACAGGATCTGAAACACCTGAGGTACAGAGACAAGCTGAACATACCCAGGTATCGCAGCATTATCTAGCTTCACTAAAACGAACAACCGCAGCCAAAACACAGTCTTACAGAGATGGTTATCAACTTAATTAAGTAAGTCAACCCTGCTCTTGGCCATTGGTTAATATTAATTGATGGCTAATATTCAAAAAATCAGAATAGCATTTTTGTGCTGATCTTGTTACTGCAACAATGAAAACGGCAGATTCAGTTAATAATTAACTAGCTATCTATCAGGGTTGTTATGCTCTTATGGAACTGAAAGAGAAACCAAAGAGAGGGTGATAGATTGCTAGATTAAACTAACTTCATTAACACAGCTAATGTGAAATTCTTACTGAAGCAGGTTCAAGTTGTTGAAAGAAAGACAGTTACTGCTTCTTAGCCTTTTGGGAAGATTAAAATAATGAAACTTTTCAAAAGTGGATCCAAAGCTGGAGTACAAACAAGTAAGACAGACACATTGAGATAGATGTAGCAGCAGCATACAACCTGGGAAAGCCCAAAAGGGTTTATGACAGGAATTCTAATAACACAGAAACATGTAAATTCTATGTTTTTGTACATGCTGTATTTATCTGCAACTGGTAATAGACAGGATTAAGAAGAAGCAGATCTCAGATACACTTATGGCTGAAGAATGGGAGCAAGGACACACATGTTACGCTCAGGGTAAGTGCATATCCACTTCACTTTTAGGATCAGGTCTCAGGGTTCCTGGAGGGGATCTGGGGGGGATTCATGGTTCAGCTGTCGGAGGTTTTGTTTTGGCAGGGTGTGCCTTTTTCTTTAAGTCTGAGATGGTGTGCAGGAGACCTAATTTTCAAACAAAGAGGGATAGCCCCCAGCAGAAGTGACAAAGAAAACCAAAAAGAAAAAAAACCAAACACTTAAGTGGATCGGAATTCACACCGTGGCTTTTTAAGGTGTAAAAACACAGTGTAAATATGGCTGAAACAATTCAGCAGGCATTAACATTTTGGTTATGTAACATCTTCAGCGTAGATGGCATCAGGTTGCCAGATATTTGATGGTTCTCTGGGTTTCTGTGGACTTTGATCTACTTCCAAGTGTCTGGTTGCTCTAAACAGATTGCAGCGCATATTATGTAAATTCTTGTTGATTTTGCTTTTGACCAAATGAGTTTACGAGCAACCTAAAAACAATCATGTTCACATGAATCAGTACAAAAGAAGAAGTAAAAGAAGAGTCACTATGATTTTGTCGAAAGCCAAACTAATAAGCCTGAAAAAAGAGTCAACCTGTACATATAGGTTACGTTGGAGCACCTGGGCTCCAACAGTGATGGCAGTTGAGGTCATTGCTGAAGTGTTACTTGGCATAATGCTGCACCAGAGATAGGACACTACATATAGATTCACCTATTGTTCCACGTCTGTCAGATGATCCGGTTGTTGGACACAGCCGTCTTGTGTTGCTTTCTCACCGTTCCCTTTCTCCGTGGGCTTCCTGTGGACTCGTTTCAGCTGGAAAGGAGGCCAGTATATATGCTAAAAGTCATGAAGGTAAGAGCAGACACGGTTAAAGACAGAGTGAAGATAAGAGGTGGGTCAGCACTCTGTGGTTGTCTGCACAAGGTAAGAAATAACTCGTCTTCGCTTTAAAAAAAAAAAAAAAAGAATATCTCTGTGTGCAGTATTGTTTTACTGTTTACAACATAAATAGATTCTACATTTTCTGATATAATCCTTACAGGAATTTGATTTGTTGCACAGCCAGCACTCAAAAGTCTGTACTGCTGCCCAGTATTACCACATCAATTTAGCTTTATTTCTCTGAAATGTCTTTTTTTTTTAATGCAACATTTCAAGCCAAAAATTAAACAAAAAAATATTCTGATTTCACTGAAGAGACATCAGCTTCACCTCCAATTTGCTTTGGTGTTTAGTTTCTGAGGAATGAATCAGTGATGCATTCTACAGATTACACTCCAGCCAGTGATGCCACAGGTTCAGGGAACATCATCTGTAATTTGAAGTCCACAGATGAAGATTCATGTAAAGTCACTTAAAGACTCATTCACATGTAATTGCAGGTGGTGCTGATTAGCATCATATTTATTCATCTGTTGATTTTTTTCTTCTATTTATGGACTTGCAGGATTTGAAATATACATTTAGAAGTTTCACAAGCATTAAAAAGGTGTTTTCTGATACATTCTTAAATCTGCGTTATTTTTTTTCTTGTTTTTTCTGCATTCTTAAGGTGCTTTTATGCAAGTGCTAAAGGAATAATTTTGAGTTACTGCTACTTCACTGAGTATTTTCATTTCATCCTACTTTCCACTACTCCACTACAATCCAGAGCTAGATACTGTGACTCCACTATGTTTATCTGACAGCTGTATTACTGAGCTACAACGTCATATAATTAAGCAGGTGGTCCTTATTTGACTTACAATCCGGCCAAAACAAGTTGAGCACTTGAGTATATATCAATGGCTTTGAGCCCTTTGCACGCCCTGATAGAGAAAAGACCACGCGCACTTCAAATTCACATCTCGGGCTGTTTATCTTTCCTCTAGTTTGAAGACAATGTGGCTGACCCTTCTTTCATATCAGTTTGTCACACTCCTTGTTCAAGCTCAAAATGCTTGTGACGGACACAACACGTTCAGAAGTCCAGGTCAGTGAAACTTTCAGAACTAATTCTTTTTATCCACTTGCTGCTCTGGCTGTCCCTCCTTCCCCTCTCCTTTTCCTTTCACACCTCTCTTCTCGTGCAACCTAATAGCTGTAAGGACAGTGGTGGCCTGGCTGTCTGAGGAGATGCTTTATCTCTGAGGTGAGGTGTGTTACACCAGAGTTTGACAATGGATGTTGTTGTTCATTCCTGGAGTTAAATATGAATCATCAGTAGAAGTTAAAACAGAATGAATGAAGGTAACATTTTCTTGCAGACCAAGTTGCAGACAGACCTGTTCAAGCAAACAGGGATATATCTACAAACCACAACATGATAAAACAATCTGGGAAGGACAAGTTAACGAGAGGGGAGTCGGAACTAAGACGAACCAGACTTAAATCAAAAAACGGGCAAAACTACAGAAGTCTAGAAAAACACCAACTAACTGAATAGGACACGATGGAAATGTAATGAGTCGTGACTCGATAATCCGACCCTTAACAATCCCAAAACCTTGCTGTCCGACAGGTTTTTAGGAAAAATGAATGGAACCCATTAAAAACAGCCTTAACATACCGACAGCCTTGGATTCTGACTCCGACATGACATTTTATATCACAAATAAGGATAATGGCGTATTATCTGACTAAACAATCCGACAGATTGGCTACGTTCAGACTGCAGGACTTAATGCTCAATTCAGATTCTTTGGTGAAATCCGATTTTTTTGCGAGATCGTTCACATTTCCTATTAAATGCGACTTGTATGTGATCTGCTGTGTGAACTTCATACGACCCAAAAGTGTCCCGCATGCGCAGAAGAGGACACGACGTCACACGCAGCGGGCATGCTCAGTGTTTGCATAAGTATCCACGGATGGTGGTGCCACTGCCACTGATGGTGGAAACAGAACTGTGACCGCTATCCTAAACTCGCATCAGCAGCTAAGTACTGCCTGTGTGTTCTGGCCACTTCCACCCCATCAGAGCACTCCCCCAGGGTGGAATTGGCCCCCCGACCGCGCCGAATATTTGGATATTCATCATTAATTTAATATCTTAAGACCAGAAAGTGCTATTCGGACCAGCCTTACTAGTTACTATAACAACTATGAACAATAACTAACAATAAATGACCATTCAAGCATCAAGCCCTCCTTGTATCTCGACCTCCGTCTTGACAATCTGACAGCCTTGCTATCCGACATAAAAGAAGGTTTTACATTTAGTGTTGAATTATCGATTCACAACTGTATATATAAACTGAGCCAAAAGTAACAAAGCAGGGATACTCACAGGGACTGGGGAATTAAACTGGGGGATGAGCTGGAGCTTGTGAAGGCCGGGAAACACCAGAGTGGGGCTGGCAGCAGCAGGCAGGAGACAGGTTGGACATCGGCAGGGCTGAGGCTGCGGCTGGGCCCTGAAAAGATGCCTTCCTCAAACAAACAAACAAACAAACTGTGGCGTTAATATTTTCAACTGCATTCTGATGTAGCTAGGTGTTTTAAGCTGTTAAGAAGTGACAATACATGACTCATCACTGAGTTTTTAGCCTAAAATCAAAATGGAACTGAAAACCGTCTCAGTGCATTTAGACATGTAGACGACCTGCTAAAGTTCAAACCAAGCATCAGAATGAGAAAGAAAAGGGATTAAAGTGACTTTGAATGTGGAATGTTGTTGGTGCCAGGCTGGTCTGACTATTTAAAAGATCTACTGGGATATTGTTCGCAACCACCTCTAGGGTTTACAGAGAACGGGCTGAAAATGAGAAAATATCCAGTGAGTGAGTTATCTGGATGAAAATGGCTTTTTGATGCCAGGATGGTTTTCTGTTCTATCCATGCCCCATTCACAGTTGTTTTCGTAACTCGTTTTGTCACCTCCAGTTTGTATGTGGGATTTCCTCAGACTCCAGAAAGGTCCTCCTAAAAAGACACGTTTTCACAAACACATGAAAAACAGATTGAGGACTGGCTCTGATCCTGTTCCTTTCTGTACAGCTAATTCAGACATCGAGGTCGTCTGTGGCTCGCAGACAGTGGACCTTCAGATCCTCCTGTGTCCCATCTATTTCAATGGATACAACGAGTCACTGCTGGCCCTCAACTCACAGCACTCCAAAAACCAGTGCAAAGGGACTGCTGACTGGACAGCAGACCCGCCTGTTGTCAAATTCAACTTCTCCATCTCAGAGGAAGCGATCACCGAATGCTCCAGCACAATGACAGTAAGTTATCTGGAACTGAAGACACCCAACAAGATGGCACTCAACACATTTTCACCTAAATCTGTTTTTTTGAAGGTTTCTCAGGAGACAGGGACTGGACTATTTACAGAATTCTCCAGTGTCCAGTACATCAGCATCACAGGCATGATCTGCTCTGAAGACCCGACCGCTGGAGCCATCACCTACCACCAGGAGGTGATGTACAAGTTCTCCTGCCGCTACCCACTGCAGTACCTGGTCAACAATACTCAGATGAGTGTGTAAGTGGCTCTTGCTGTTTAAAGTTGCACAACAGGAGGACATGTAAGATGTCAGATGCTGCTGTTATCAAATGCAAAGCAAATCTTACTACAAAGCAATAATACTGTTACAGGTCTACATTGTACACTTGCTTTGCTGGCAAAAGATAAATTATGATTTGATGCTGTGATTATTGTTTTTGTTTTTTGACAGTGTGTACATGGATCATATGTGCTTTGTGTTGCTGTGGTTGTAAAGGCGTTTTGTCACATAGGAAATGATAAAAGATCAAACGTGTGGTTGGCTCCCTACTGGCCATCACAAGACACTGTACATAGATGTAGTTTCTTTGTCATTAATCAAATAAAGACGACACCAGAGCTGAAATGATTCGCTGATTAGTCAGTTGACAACGTTTTGACCCCTTTGCAAGACAAGGCCACAAAATGAAGGATGGTGGACCTATGATCTAATTTTTCTGTGGGAGGAAGTGAAAGCACCTGAAAAACAAAAAACATTGCAAACTCCACACAGAAAGGCTTCAGCCAATCAGTAGCAGTTGTCTCCTGCTGTGAGGCAACAGTGCTGACCACTGCATCACCATGCCACCCTATATTCTAACATGTTTGTTAACCCTAAGAAGCTGGCTGTAGGTAAATAAACACATATAAGACAGTTTGACTGTAGGTTTTTGTTATTGCAGTCTTAGCAGGGCTTTATTCTCATTTTGGTGTATCATTCACTCATTCATCAAATAAATAATGACTTGGGGCCCGTTTCATAACGTGCACTAAGAAAAACGTGGATTTAAGTCAAATACATGATGTGAATGAACCTAACCAATCAGTCACGGGGTAAACAGGTTCCATCACGGGCAGTTCAAATTCATGCAATCAGGCTAATTCGGTTAAGGTTCAAGTGGTTGAGAAAATTACATGTGTGGTAATTTTAAGTGGATTTTCAGTCACTTTTTTTTTGCCTGAAACTAGTTAATAATTATACAGCAGAAAGCCAGCATGTTGGTGGTAAAATCTTGGCTGTCCTGTGGGGTCAGTGTTGCAAGCACTCTGGTTAAGTTACAACTTGAGCCTGACAGTCTGCCCTGGAGCAGGTTAGTTTGCAAGGATAGGTTTCCATAATGTTGAATTGAACTGAAATAACCGTAGAAAAAGTCAGACTAAAAAACCTGACCTATTTGATAAACTTGTTTAGCTAAACATGCTCCTGTTTGTTGATGACTTGGGTTTTTCCCATGATTAATTTCAGCTGCTGACAGAAGGTTTTTTTTTTTCGCCCAACAGGGCTGGAACCAACCTGGCAGTCAAAGACAATAATGGAAGTTTCATCAGCACACTAAGCTTACGACTCTTCTCGGTAAGAAGGGCATGATGTCAACAGAAAGCT